GAAATGCACACACAAAACGACAACAGTAAGCAGCAGCAACAATTGAAATCATTTAACATTTGCTTAAACCGACAATTCCGGCCAACTACGTTCTGCAGCTGCATATGCATCTGCATCTCAATTCCGATACACTTCGAATGGTCTCCGACCCGATTTCGAATGCTTGAAATGTGCAGAAAGCTTGTGCCGAAAGTGTTTAACGGAATGTGTGCAACCAAATTGAAAATTTACCCACAAACATGTCAACGTTCTTCTAAAGGGCTGCTGAGAGGATTGCAGGGACAACATTTTTCAGACACGTTCGAAATTTGAAATGAAATATATGTAAATATTTATAAATGGTGTACAAGCTGCAAGGGGATGAATTGGTAGACTTCTTACATTTTTTAATAATATGTAAACTAAAGAATCAATTAAGCATTCGCTGTATTCGATGTTCTAACAACTAAAACTCTTCTTAATTAATTCCAAGCAAAGTATTACCTCCTTTCTTGGGCCCAAAAAAAGGCCAAAGTAACCATTAAAAGAGATTCCAAACTTTAATCCACCAAGTCGTCCCCTCCATTTCTGAGTTCATTCAATCTTTATTTCATAATAATGCAGATTCCATTTCAATTTATATTCCAGTTGCTCCTCCGCCCTGAGGTTTTTCTCACTTTTACATCGAAACCAAAAATGTGTACACACACACACACACACACTCGTGCACACACACACACAGAAAAGAAAACTCAATTAAAACAGAATAAATTTCCATGCTGTTGGGAATAATTACGAATTTCAATTTATTTGCCGCAGGTTGCAAAAGGAAAAGGCTGCGGCAGAGTCAGAGGCGGAGAGCCAGGACTGTGAGGCCGAACAGCAGTTATGGCAACAAAAACAACGACACTGGTGAAGCCAGAGCCAGAGCCAGAGCAATCGCAGTTAGCCTTATGGCTAAGAAAAGTTTTTCCTTCCAACCCAAGTCAGAAGGGTAGAGGGAGGAAGATGAGGATGGCCGACTACAATCGTAGTAACTTACTTACTGACTGACTCTGACTGAGGCCTGGGGTCTGTTAAGTATACGAGAAAATAGTGTCTGTCTGGGAATTTATCGATCATTGGGCAGGGAAAAGCCAACCTTTTTCCCGCAATTATTTTGGCTACAATTTATGCACACTATCCACATGAATTTATAACCCCCCACCGATGCACATTGTACACAATTTTTCGGTTTGGTTTTCCCCCCTCGCGTTGACATTCATCAAACCGGAACCCATAAAGCCAATGCCACAGGAAAATCAATCACACATTTATTTTTCCCCCGTCTGCATAATTAAAATTATGATTTCCCTGCAGTGCAACTCTGCGGTTGCCCGACAAAATGCCAAACGCAACGCAACGTAGCGGTGCGGAACGGAATGAAAAACTTCAATTGCGAGCGTCAAACTGTCACAAAGCAGTTGGCAAAAATGCGACTGCGAGTGGGGGTACGAGCTCAAACAGAAACACAGCAAAGGACAAAGCCGGGGCCAGCCAAAAGTGACAAATTGGAAGAGCTCGGAAAAAAATTGGAGGCGCAACTACAGCGTACACTCAGCAAACTGCCACAGAGCATATTCAGAGCAGGGGAACGGAGCTGGAAATGGAGCAGAGAGCACATGGGAACTGGGGACATTGGGAGCGGGCAGCACAGGCTGAGAACCAGAACCTGAGCGTAGAACCAGAACCAGACCCGGAACATAAAAGTTTATCAACTAAGTAAAATAATGCAGGGCGTAAAGTTTACAACCGCAGTGGCCGCAGTGGGGGATACGCCATACAGAGAGAGAGAAAGAGGGGCGCGGGTGGTTTTGGTGGGAGGGCGCCACAGCCACGGATGCGCCACAACAATAAAAACCAAATGTTGCTACAATTTCTGGTTGCAGGGACTGCGACCAGGGCTAAAAGCATGCCAACCCGGACCAGGGAGCACGTTTTGCATAATGATGAATGACGAAGACGATGACGGCGACGGCGAATGGCGAATGGCGATGGCAACGGTGTCTATGATGTGTGCTTGTTGCAGCCACAGCCACAGTGACAGTCCCTGCTAGAGCTCCGCTCTCCGTTGATTTGTTTATGGAGTGCCACAGCAGTAGGAGCAGCACGAAAAGGAGGGGGCCGCAGAAATGATAGCACACTTTTGAGCGTTGCGCTGCGGTGTGTCAAGCGATGTCGAGACGTCGCAATTGGAAACAAATTATGCTCTAAGCGCATTGCAGTGCCCTGTCCTCACAGCAGCAAGGAGATCACAGTGTTGTGCACATCTCTGGAGAGGTCTTTTGGGTGTTTTGGGTCTTTGGGTGTGGTCTCGCTCTCTAGATTGCTGTCTGATTATGTCTTCATCGGAATTACGTATGCACCGTGCGGCTGGATGATGAAGTGAGCAAGAGCATCATTTGCAGCATGTTTAGCATTTTTATTGTATGTGCACTTCCCCAATGAGCTGTGTTCTGCTCGCCCCAAATTCAGCTCTTTCTGTGGAGTGAGAGTTTTTGGGAGAGGAAATTACTTACGAGTATGTGTGCAGATTGCAGTCTGGATTATTCTTCAGAAGTATTATATGTCCTTTAAAAAACTCGCATCTATTGTATGGATCTATTGCCAATATTTGGTATTATTCCCTCGCTTTGCTTAAGCTTGTCTTTGACAGTTCTGCGAGACGCAAAATAGGGAGCAGGAACTGCCATACATTTGCATCTAATTGGCAGCCAGGCAACGGGCAAAACTTCTCTTTCTCTTTTGCCTTGCAAAACGGTATCCAGGCTGACCGGGTAGAAGAAGCGGGCGGCTGCAATGGCCAGGCGGAGCCAGTGCACCCACTCCAGCCTTCGATGGGACTGTGCTGTCCTGTGCGGAGCTTTAACGACAGGCGCCCGGCGCTCGAAAGCTTCGTGCAGCTAATATGCAAATTCCCTGCAGCTTTTACTTTAGCTGAGTTTTTCTTTCGCTCAGCTCTTTGCTTTTCCCTCGCCCTTTCCTCCTGGATCGCCCATTAGGTTGGGCTACACTCTACTGTTGCCATTGGCGGTGCATCTTTTTGCCTTTGTTTTGCTTCCGCTGCGCCATGTTACCAACCCATGTCGTTTCTCCATTTCGTTCCACTCCCTTCCCTTCCATTCTTCAGTTCTTTCTCGTTTTCTGGCTTATTATGCATTGCACATTTTTACATTTTTACTTAAAAGGCGAAGCGACACGGAGAACGGAGACGGCAAGAAAAAAACTCCGCACACCGCAAAAATCGTAATGAAATTTTTATTATACGACAAAGTAAAATATTTTTATCAGCATTTCTCGCTTGTTGCTTTTGGGGCATAGCGCAGATATTCCACTGGCATGCCAGCGGCTGCGAGCGGAAAGCGGACAGCGCACGGCAAGAAGCACTGGGAAAAGAGGAATAAATGGGCGTGGGCGGAAAACTGGGCCAGCCAGACTGTCAAGTCAATCAAAATATGCCAAAAAGTTTTCGGCTTTCGAATTCTTAAGAAGTGCGGCCATATGGCCGGGTATACATCCGGTCTATCCACCGGGTATCCATGGCCCTTATCTATGGCTTTATTTGTTTAAGCAAATTCCTGGCTAAACACTGCACTTCAGGGCAGAGATTCGCACCCAGACCAATGCTCCGTTCCCGCAGCAGAGTGCCGTGCCACAAATTGCAGCGCAAAGTTTTTTGGCCTGCACTTTGGCTTTTTGGCCGGGTGTCAATTTGCTTGGGCCGTGGCCAGCAAACTTTTCATCTGTTTAAAGCAAATATTTGGACTGCGTAATTTTCTGAAAATGTCTGAGGCGGTTTTCCCTTCCATTCTCTTTAAGTGTCCTTTGTTTCGTTGGGAAGACACAAATCCTTTACAGATTTAAGTGTTATTAAAAGGGATTCCTTTCACTCAGGTGTCTAACAATTAAAAAAAATAAATTTTGTTTTTCTTACAATTGCAGGAAGAATTTTTAAATTTTTTCCTTAAAGGAAAAATGAATTTTTCTAGATGGAGCAACCAATAAAAATGCAGTAAAAAAATGCAAATCAACCAGGCGAAAATTGACAAATTTAAAAGGCAATTCAAATCGTTCCCCTCACCAGTCCCCAGTCGCCGGGGACCGTATCCGTCCTTTTGGAAAACTGTTGACTTTCCAGAGCGTTGTAAATGCGCAGCGGGAGCGGGTGGGCCAGCAACAAATGGCAAAATGAAAACAACAACAATTGCATTCGACGAGCACATGCCGATGCAACAACAATAAAAAAAAAGCCATCAAGTTGAGTCACGATTTTAGTGAAATAAAAAATATATATAAAACAAAAATATTGCCTGCGATTTATTTGTTTTTTTTTTTTGCTCTGTGTTTTGTGAGAGTGTATTTGTATTGGCCAAGCTACGCGGCAGCTCAAAATCTGTGGCGAGAGCCAAGCCGAATGTTGCCCCAATGGGAATTTTACTGCCCCATCCCTTTTCGATGTATCCGCCACCGAAAAAGCATTTCCAAACGGTTCACGCAGCACGATTTTTATTCTCCCATTGCGCCTTGAATTTTTGCTTTTAGTTTTTGTGCTTTACTTTTGATATTTTTGTTTGCCGAGTGCCAGAAATTTCATTAAATTTCATTTTATCGAAATTAAAAAGGAATTTTCCTTTCGATAAAACAAACAAAACTGCAATACACTCAATAAACTATTTTTGGGAGATGAAAAATGCAATGGCGGAAGCTACTGGCAGCCCAGCAGATCTTTCCAAATTTATTTAAGCTTTATCTGAAAGCCCCCGATTAAAATTATGGTCAGAAATAATTGGGTTATCAAACTTCAGCTAGGTGGCATGTAATATACATAAATATGTATTTATAATAAGGTGAAGAAGTGTACAGAAAATAAAGACGAAAACTATCGCCGATAGTGACAAACAGTCAACACTTCGAAATATCGATAGAGCCATGGGAAATACTGCTCGGCGTTTCCAACACTTGACATAAAAAACAAATTGAAATTATTTACTGATACATATTGTACCTCAATACGCAAATATTCATACACATGATGCTTAAATTTCTACTTAATCGAGAAATAAAGTTTTCCCTGAATGGTAGTCTTTATGGGATTGATTTTTTTCAATATTTTCGTCATTGTCTCAACCACACGAATCTTCGAGTCGCTGGTGGCTTTGTTGCGGAACTTGGACAGCAGCTCGGTGGGTGTCAATGGTTTGCGCTTTAAGTAGCGAATCACAGCCTCCTCGCTGACGCCAAATTCGCTGCAAGACAAAACCATACAAATTTATTAATACACTTTTAAGCATTCAATGCCGAAACTTACTCAATTTTACGCAAGAAGACGGCTGACTGTTCAACCTGGGTGCTGTCTTTCTCCTCATTGGGCGGTTCAATGGACCCCTTCGAAACTGTAGGCTGACAAGTACTTGGCGGAGTACTGCCCACAGGCACCTTGCGCTTGGTGCAGTCTTTTGGCGATGCACCACTGCTGGGGGACTTATTGGCCGCGTTATATATGCGCTTCTCCTTCTTGTTGAAGGTGACCCTCTTGCGGGGCGGACCATCGCTCGGATCCTTTTCGGAGTCTGAGCTGTCAGATGATTCTATGGATGATTCTTCACTGCTCAAACTTGAAGGCGTCTCCAGCCCACGAATGTTGAAGGCATCGTCTTGAGGGTTCTCCTGGCACTCGTCTTTCTGGTTGTCTGACTTGTCATCATCTTCTTCGTCGTCTGAGTTGAGCAATTTTCGCAGAGCTTCCTCTTCTGATACTCCCTTCAGCTCCTTGATCGCCTTGTCCTCGAGATCGGGCTCACTATGGGGTAAAACCGAATGATTTAATATTTCTTGCTATTCCCAAACTTACTCTTCGCTGGAATCGGAGATGTAGTCACGTTCACGACCTTCTTCGTCACCATCGTCCGACTCTTCGAAAGCCTCAAAAAATGTCTTCATATCAAGTTCCTTTTTGCCCTTAGCCTTGGCCTTCTTGCCATCAGTAGCATCGACGTCGCTTTCCTTTTTCTTTTTCTTCGCTTTCTCCTCTTCGTCCGATTCGGATTCATCCGCGGAGTCCATCCACTCAACATCATCTGTGATCTGTAGCGCGAGGGTTCCATTGTCGACTGACTTGGGCAGCTTGGACGAATCTGTATCCTCCTCGTCCTGCTCGCCACGGCACCGACGGCGCATCATCAGATTGAAGTAGTTGAGCGATTTCTCGCGACGACTGAACTCCGCTTCCACCTCCTCCGAAGTGAGGGCCTTGTAGCGGTCGATGGGCTGGAACGCGTACCAATCGTTGATTGGGTACGCATTGAATCTGCCATCTGGGGCATGGGTGAACACATAGTAGGCGGCATTCGCACCCACTTCGCCCGTACGAATGCCCTTGAACTTTTTGCCCGTCTTGCCATCGACTTGCAACAGCCAGGGCTGCGCCTCTGGCTTATAGTGTTGCACCACGTTCTTCTTGCGGCTTGTGTCGCCGTGCTGGCGCCAATTGTACTCTGTGCCGGCCCCAAATTTGGGCTTCTCCTGCTCCTCCTCGATCATATACTGTGGCTTGTTGTTCTCCCGCGACATCTTCACACTGCGCCATTGGGCGAAGTCCACGTTTAAATTGTCATTGAAGCGCATTAAATGGCGCTGGTTGCGCACCTTTGGCACCCGAATGATGAACTCGTTTGCCGAATTCTTCGGAGCCTTTGCAGTTGGTGCAGCAGCTGCTACTGCAGAGCTGGCGTTTTTTTTGGCAACGCTTGGGCGCTAAAAGTTACAGAAATTTAATCATATGCAGCGTAGGAGAGCTGTGGAATGAGTAGGAAACACTTACCTTCAAGTTTTTACGTTTCTTAGGCGGCATATTCACTGTAAGAGTTAGTATCACTCCAATCGTATTGTATTTTCACTCAAACCACAGCCGAATGGATGCTTTTAGCTATCGAAGATTATTTTAGCGCACAACACAGAAAAAATTAAATTTTAATTTATTTTACGATTTGATCACTTTGAATTACTTGTGACGAATAACAGCATGCAAGTCAATTAATTTCTTTAGGTGTTATTGAACACAAAAATTGGAGCAAAAAGTCAGCGCCTACTCAGATGAAATATTCGCAGGGGCCACTAAGTATTATTAAATTATATTTAACACCTAGATGAATAGTTTTCCAATGTTTTGTATTCTTTGAGCCGATCAAAAATACCCTTATAGATCGTTAATACCCATATGCATTGCCAAAGTTTTGGGGCACAACCAGAGTCGACAAGAAATCCTTCAGCTGACATAATGCCCTGGCATTACAGAAAGCCGTCTGAGGGCATGGCTGAGGCCGATGTTTGGGGCCGGGCCACAGCTGTCAATAGTGAAGGACAATAACAAAGTGGAGGAGGTGCAACATCAGCAGCAGCAGCAGCAGTAGCAGCAACAACAAAAACTGTGGCAGCAGCAGCAGCAGCAATTTGTGTGGCTAGCGGCACACGGCGAGGCATGTGAAATGAATGCAATGCTCCAGCTACGTGATGATAATCGCACATGGGTCACACACACGCACACACACACAGACACACACAAACAAACTGGCACAAGCACAGGATACACAGATATACGCATACATAGAGAGGGAGAGACAGAGGGAGAGAGAGAGAGAGAGCCGAGCACTTGGCCCTGGTTACAAGTTGCTGACACTCACGGATAGAGGGGCTTAACCCATGGCTCACTGGATAGCGGATATTGATGTTTGATGTTGTTTATGGTGCCCAGCAAATCGAACTTAAGTGAAACGGGATTAAAATATAAATTGGAATGGCAATTGTTTGACTTATTCAGTGCAGAGCAGTCATTGATGTTGTTTTGGCACACGTACAGGTATGACTGACTAAAGGTAGTTAGAATTCAATGAATAGGAAAGCAAAAGCTCATAGGGAACCACCCACAAAAGGTATTCTTTAATAGGGCTTTATTTTCAATATCAATATCTCCTACTTAGAATAAACAATCATTCACATTCCTTGGATAATCCAAAATTAACTGCAAATTTAGTCCAGCCCGCCTCAGTCTCAGTGACCATGCCAACTTACACCCACGCATCATCAATGGGTTAACTGTCGGACACAAATTGACAAAATTTCGCAAATGTTTGCTGGGCTGGCTGCAGGTTACGGGCGTGGGTGTGGGTGTGGGCGTGGGCTGGTCTGGAGGCTGGACTCGGGCATTGTGTGCCACCATTTGATGGAGTGCAGCGTGTGGGTGAGCAATGCTGCCGAGCCTCGTGCCACTCTCGTATCTCACTGCAGTCTGTTGTTGCTGCGTCACAACAAATCAGTTTTACATTTGCATGCATTGCATTTTGGCTGCGACGGCCCATGCTGGAGGTGGATGCAGTGCTACCCAAGAGTTGCATTGTAAGAGTTGTCTGAGCTTGCAGTCGGCGGCATGTTAACCAACTTGCCACAGAGCAGGCAGCGTGAAGGAGAGAGGACAGATGATTTATGGGCCCAGCGAAAGCTGGAACTAAATCTGAGGCACAGCTAGAGGCTGAGGATGAGGATGAGGCTGGGGCAGAGCCAGAGGCAGAGGCAGCAACGAACCGCTGGTGGCATAAACTTTTGCCGACTGTTGTCAGCTGGCAAACAATGCCAAAAGCCACAAACATGGCCTAGACGAGGCGACGGCCATTCTCCTTGGCTGGGAGAATGGGCCATTGGGAGGCGTGGCAGACGCCAACAAATATGGGTGGGGAAAAAAAATGAGCACAGAGCCAACTTTATGCATAAATATTTGCATGCAGACAGGCGCATTGGCCAAGGGAAAGGTCTCTCCAACTGCACACCCACACCCATACCCACTCCCAATCTCTCTCTTTCTCTCTTTTTCTCATTCAATTGAGCCGCTGGCAAAGCCGCTTCATAGTTGAAAAATTTTGCGCATTTTCCAGCGGCAGGAGCAGCAGCATTTGGCACGAAATATCCGCTGCCTGAACCTGCCACTGCCGCTGCACCTGCACCTGTGAAACCTTCTGGTAGTTGGCAAATTCTAAATTGCTAATGGACAACAAAAAGGCGGAATAAAAATATGAAATCGAGGAGCGGCAAGCGGCAGGGTAACCCCTCTGACTTTAATAATGCCGCCATTGCTCAGAAGCCCCCAAAAGTTTTACGCTACAATTTACACAATACATCAGGCAAGGAGTGGGAGTGGCAGTGGGTCCCCCAAGGGAGGCGTACGAGTATGCCAGCATGGCATCCTTTGCCGCTCTCACTTTCATCAAGCTGAAGGAGTACGTGATTTATTCCACTTTTAAATTGCTAAATATCTTCGTCTTTTGGCATCTTACTTTATATTTATGCGCGAGATTTACGAGTACTCTCAGTACATCCCCACCAAGTCTTCTTTTTCGAGCAAATCTATTTTGGCATTGCAATGGAATTAATTTGCGAGTAAAATTTGGCAGCGGATTGAAGCTTTGAAAAGTTGGCAAATGCCAAAAGGCAATTGAAAAGCAAATATTTCACCAGCTTAGAGATCTTGCAAACACCAAAATCTATCAGCCATCCAAGCCCAATCAGATGACATCATTCGGTGCTGCACCTTTTTACAGCATTAATCCATTAACTATTTTTGCAGAAACAAATTCTCAACTTTATGTGCGTTTTATTTAACATTTTTTAATGGCTGGACCAGTGGACAGGCCTCCTTTGGGTTTGATTTAATGACTTTTGAACAGAAATGATGTTGACATACTCCAACAAAATAAACTGGCTTTATTGACTTTTTATGAACCGCAGAAGAGAGGACACAACCAAAACAACGCCCTGGTAACATCATCATCATCATCATCATGACCGCCACAAACGTAGACACACAGATACACTCTCATACTCACACACACAAAAACATAAACACACACAAAGAAAGTTTCAACATAATTTTTACTTCCGGTCGGCGCCATTGTCGCATTTAATATGCTTGTATATACGTTTTTTTTTCTGTTGCTTTTCACTGGTTCTGGTCCTGTTTCTGGTGTTGTTCCTTTTCCCGGTCTGGCCAGCCAGTTGTTGTCCGCTGTCCGCACTGTACTTCCTGAAATGAGCTCTCCACTGTCCCCCCCAGGCAACGGGCAATTAAATAAATGTCTTTCAAGCCAACAATGTGCCAAAATGTGAAGCTCAAATGGCAGCGACAACGGCAACAAAAGGCCAACGCTCTCAAAGAGTCTGCTAATATGTGGAAACTGTCCTAAAAATTGTACTCTAAAATTCCTTAGAGTGGAACTTTAAATGAAAAATTTAACAAATTCGTTTACAACGTTTAAGATAAATGCAACATTACACAAGATGAATGCGATCAGCAGAAACTGAACCCTATATGACCACTACTTTTACCTACTATTTCCAGGAACTGTTGGAATTTTTCCGGTATAAGAAATTGTGACTCTACTCCCAACAACTGACCAACAGTCGTGTCCACAGTAATTGACGATTCTGGTGCCCGTGTTGCAATATTGCTGTGAGGCCAGGCCCCTATGGGCACACCAAGACACTTGCTCCCCGCCTTTGGTTGTTGTCTATAAATGCGCGATGTATTAATTTTTTATTGTATTTATATGTATGTGTGTATGTATGTGCAGCTCCCCTCATGCTACTCTATACCCCTTCATCTCGCATAACATCAACACAAAAGAGCCTAAATGAGCAAAGAGAATAAAAAAGAGGAGCGGGTGCAAAAAAAAGAGGAAAAACCAAAGAAAACAAACCGAAAAAAGGGCAACAGCGGCAACGACAACAACGAAGTTGCCCTATACAAGTCCATGTGTATGTTGGGTTGAGTGGACTGGGCCCTGCCTTTTTGCAGCCACTGTGGCTATTTTATTTACAGCTACAAGAACACGGGGCGGTACACGGCCCGACTGCTCGACTGACTTCCTGCTGACTCTTGTGCCGAAATTCGACTGAAACGACAAATTTTTAATTTGTAACCAAGGCGTGCTTAACCCCCCACAAGCCCCCACAAGCTCCGCTGATAAGGGGCAGGCAGGATCGGTAGATGGAGAGGTGGGAAAATTGCTGAAAAGAAATAAATAAAACTTCGAGCGTTTGTTGCATTGCATTCGGATTGCTCCTTTGTACATTTTATGGCGCTTATCTCATTCGACAATACTCGTAAATCCAATGAGCGCTACAAAAGAGTTTCGAACGAGGAAAAACTTAAGAAAAACTCAAAGACTTTAATTGCGCTGACCAATCATTCCCCCCCTCATTGATGGATGGCCATAAAAGGAGAGAAAACAGCATCGCATCGCATCTCATTTCATTTCTCTGCTTTGAGTTAAAGAGGAGTAATTATTGACAAATGGAATGCAAAATTTAAATTTAAATCAACTCCAAATGGCATTTGTTGCCATGGCGATCTGCTGCTGCCGCATTCCATTTATGTTCCAATTAAAAACATTTCGCCGCATATTTCGCTTGGTGTATTTTTAGCAGCCCCAGCCCGGAAAGTTCTGCGTATATCAATTATTTTTGGCTACCCCAGCTCTGACATTTGTCATTTTGACATTTGATATCGCCAGACCCAAGCCCCAGACCAGAACATGGCACAGGGCTCTCGGTTTTGCTCGATGTTTGCTCAGTTTTGCGGTCTGCTAAAGTGGTTTACCGCTATAGAACGATGCTCCTGCCCTACCCTCCCATCTGCCCGAACTGTGTTACTGTTAAAGAATGCCCGAATAATTATAATTTATGTAAATATTTCCTGGCACTTTTGGCACTCTACAAATGACCCTTTTGGCTATTCAAAATATAATTCGATTTAAAATGATATCCTATTATTTACTTTGACTTGACGAACTAATTCGTTGAGCAAATGTTGTGAAAATTATTTAAAATTCAGCTGTAAGCCCAAAAAAATGTTGTCATAAATATTTGATTGCAATTAGCCAAGTCTTTTTTATGACAAATTATTTTAAATTAATTTCATTTGGTTTGGCCAGAGTTAAATGACATTTATCAAATGACAGCTGCACAGGGTGTCTGTCTGTGCACCCTAGTC